TTTTTTTTTTTCCCAAAAAGTAAATAAAAGATTTGAGTAATATTTAGTCAATTTCACACGTAATGTGAAATTTACTACCAATTTCTGAGTGAAAATAGTTTCTACACAATGTTTTTTCAGTGTATACACAGTATAAGAAACGCATTGTGAATCACATTCATTCCAAAATAAACAAATCAATATAAGGACTTTTATTTTATTTTAATAGAAACATTACGGTTTTTTTTGTTTTTTTGCGAAGTATTATATTCAAGTAGTTTTCCTTGTCATGAAAATAATACTAATTAAATGATAACTAAAAACAACAACGTACATTTTTTTTTATTTTATTTTTTTTATAGTGAAATAACGACCTGGATAGTTTTCGTGAGATTCACCCGAGCTCTAAAAAGTGTGGAAAGAGTCATTTAGACATTTAGAGGGACAAAAGTTCGACTTACTCAAGCATCGTGGAGCGGCCGACCGGAGAAAGTTAGACGAATAAACCGAGTGTCGTTCCGGTACAGAGAGCGCACGCAACGCGTTTAAATCCGAGCGTATGTCGTCATCAGGCGCGTCTCCTCTTACGCACAGCGTGATGACGAGCGCACGCAATAAGGTCCTCCGTAATCCATAACTGAATAATAAGCGGCTCTTAGAATTAATAAAACGACCTAAAGTGTGAGATTAGACTGATAAATATAGGAACATTTGTGTTTATGTAGGTGTAAATCTGCTCTTGACGCTATTCTGTTGCGTGCTCTTGTGGTACAAATCATATTTAATACAAATAATAATTATTATTGTTGATATCAGAATATTATATTAGAGCGAATCTCATATCCAGGTCATTTTACCTTAAATACCTTAAAAATAATACATTTGAAATTAATCAAGATTTTTAAATTAAATTTGCGCTACAGCTATTTAAAAGTTAAAGCATTCGGAGCTTTGATTTTTAAAAACTATTTATAAACAATTGTTTATCATTTTTAATTATCTTGCAATTTGATGCAAAACATGCATATATAGTGTATACATTACTTTATATATGTATAGCCTACATGGTATACTTACAAGTTTAGCATAAATTACAACACTGAAATATTAAAGTAGTAGGTCATCAAAAAAAAAAAAATTTTTTTTATCAATACAAAATAAATAAATAATCTGGATATAATGGCCAGCACCTTCTATTTATGCAAAATAAACTTCCCAAGCAAAATAGCTTTTATTACAGGTTTACGGATTGTAATTATTTTTTTAAGTTTTAACATGAATATCTGGTTCCAGAAACTTATTGCAAATTTAGATTAGAAACCTATTGAAAATATTGCAAGTGCCAAAAAAAAACCTTAAAATGCAGAAGAGATTGAAGCTGAAGGTTACAAACAGAAAGTCGTGGTGAGGCACTCATTGGAAACTGCAACACAAATGAAGCATGCATCATATTTGATACTTGAATTTCTACCTTTATATAGTTTTGAGAGTTTATGGGGTTTTTCAGCAAGTAAAAGGTCTTTTAGTAAAAGTTTACATATACTTTTTATATTGTTAGTAATATTTCAACACTTACTGGACTGAAGCAACCTAATGTACTTGGTTTTCATCTTTTTGTCCATATAAATATCAGCATCTGCAAAAAATTGCATATTTTTTGCTCCGTTTGAGTCTGAGCTGATGCATCAAATACGACGCAAAATATAACATTGCATTGATTTCATTGCATTCATGCATATGTTAAGTAATTAAATGCAAGGTTTTCTTCTGAATGAGTTAAATCTGTAGAAATAAATCGCATTAATGTAATTCACACAATTCACCACAGGAGGTGAATCTAAACTCGAACCTAAATGTCTATTACAGATGTTAAATATTATTATATGTAATTTAAAAGGTTTTTTGACATGTTTTTCTACTTCACATGAAAATTAATCATTTATTAAATATAAAATCAATGCTAAATATGGTTTTTCTCTGACTAGAATAAAAGACGTAGAAATAACTCACATCAGTGTAATTCCTACAGTTCTGTTCCTCTAACTCGTATTTCTTTTAAATATATTATGTATTTAATTTAACGACGATAAAATACAACAAAACATAGAGAATAATACAGTCCAAGGACTTTTATCTTATTTTATCTTTATTATAAATAATATAATTAATATAAGTAAGAAACTCGAAGTTTAATTGTATTATAGATGTAAAATATATAATTATTAGAATTTTTTTTTTCTGCTTTTTATGGTAAATAACAATTTATTAAATATGAATGCAAAATAAGGTTTCTCTGACTATAAATAAAGACGTAGAATAATTAACATCAGTCTAATTCATACATTTTGGTTAAGTTCCTCTGACTTGCTTTTTAAAATAAAATATGATTTCTTTATTTTCAGAAGGATTCAGAAGGATTCAGACGTACTGTAAGTGCAGCAGTTTTCAATCTCATGAAGATCAAAGTCGTTACTTTCTCTCCATCTTCTGTGTGTTTTTCTCATTTAATGGAAACATTTTCTTCAACAATTCATAAAATCACTCCAGATGTTTCTCCAAAGATCCTCCAGAACTCTCTGGACCCTGATATTCTGACCCACATCAAGATGTTTCAGAGCTTAATATAAACGCTTCACACACACACACACACACACTCACTCACTCACACTCACACACCATGAAAAATTAATCATTTATTAAATATTAAATCAATGCAAAATATGGTTTTCCTCTGACTAGAATAAAAGACGTAGAAATAACTCACATCAGTGTAATTCCTACAGTTCTGTTCCTCTAACTCGTATTTCTTTTAAATATATTATGTATTTAATTTAACGACGATAAAATACAACAAAACATAGAGAATAATACAGTCCAAGGACTTTTATCTTATTTTATCTTTATTATAAATAATATAATTAATATAAGTAAGAAACTCGAAGTTTAATTGTATTATAGATGTAAAATATATAATTATTAGAATTTTTTTTTTCTGCTTTTTATGGTAAATAACAATTTATTAAATATGAA